CCCTCTGTAATCAGAATGCTAACTTAGGCATCGGAGAGTCCCCGCCGGGAAAATACCCCCGGGTCCTCTGATTCAGTTCCCGCAGGTCCCTTAGCTCCCGCCGTCTACAAAGGAGAGARAATCACCTCACGCGGAGGGTAGTCGGGTTGCGCTGCACCCGGGAGCTCCATCATCCTCTGAGTTGCAGAAATTAATTAGGGTTGAATAGGTAGAGTTGAAGGTCGGATTGGATTAGGGTTTGGGTCGGGGGTTTAGAACATAGGATTGGATGAGTTGTCGTCCTTTACCACCGACCTTAGTGGAGCCATTCAATGAATCGACACATGACCCTTACATGTGTCATTTTAGCCACAGAGGTCATAGGTACTTTTCAGTATACAAACTTCCCTAGTGACAACATGGTGACACTAAAACTACACATTAAAAACATCTCCCCATCAATGAAAATCTCCTACTCTTGCATGTGATCATAATAAAAATCTCCTACTTTTGCATGGGTTATAAAATCATCCAGATTGATTTTATTAATTGGGATTAGATTAGCATTGAAACTCTACCAAATTTAAACATGCCTTAATGGACATATCGTATTCATTCAAGCGATCATATTTAATATGAAAATGATATCATAGTAAAATTTTATTACTAAATCACCCTTTATCATATAGACAGAATATATATATATAGATATAGATCACAATTAAACCGGAAAATAGGCTTATGGCTTTGTAGGGGCATTGAGATACAATATAACTGGGTGAAAAAGATTGCTAATTTTTTTTATAGATGGATTAGCCAAGCAAGGGGTGAATAGGGAGGCTATTTTTTGGGCTAATTTTTAATCTTTTTTCATTGTAATTTACTGATGGAGAGATAAGACTCTTTATCTCCCCCTTGTTATACCTAAAGCTTCATAAATCTTAATAAAGTTTCTGTTATTGATAAAAAAAAAAAACAAAAATCTACAAAGCCTCAGCCTGCCCTGTTGCCACCCTTACTTAAATTCCCACATTTACTCATTGAGTCTCGACTGAGCCTACTCTGACCTGGATCCAATACGCCCCGTTGGCAACATTAAATTGTATATTGGAATTTGACGATGAATGAAATTAATCAACAACAACAATAATAATACAACTCTTACCCAACTCAACCTTATTTCTTAACGCTGCAATAAAGCTTGTTAATGTGTTTGCCAAATTCCAATGATCAATCCAATATTCAAAATTTTGGACTCGGGCCCTGAAAATAAATACCAAATACATTGCGATCAATCCCAAACCCAACCTCCCTGTGCTAATTGCATGCATTTACTGGTGTAGATTTTGACCCTTCAATCAACAGAGTAAGGTGCCTTAGATGGTCCCAATGGGCCTGTTAGTCGGTGGAGTCTTTATTTCTTGATTCTTGAATCATATAAATACATGATCCGGGGGCTGTTTTCTAGACCAATCTTCTTCACGCTCTCCCCTCCTTCATTCTACTTTGTTATAATCCAAACAAAAAAAAAAAAGCTTTTTTTTTTCGTATCTTGTTTATTAGAGAATAGACAAAACCCCAATGAAGCCTGTCACTCTAGAATTGGGTCTAGCCTCATTGAGTACTTACCTCGCTGTTTTATTCTCGGTCTTTATTTGTTTTCAGTTCCAGATCATTCAAGCCGGGTTCGTCCTACCTAACAACAATGTTTCAGTTCCGGCGCTGTTGGTGTTCGGAGATTCATACGTGGACACAGGCAACAATAACTATCTTGCCACGGTGGCAAAATCTAATTTCCCTCCATATGGGGAAGACTTCCCCGGAGGAAAACCGACGGGAAGGTTTAGCAACGGAAGGGTCCTCTCAGACCTTATAGGTAGTAGTTCTCTTTATCCTCATTTTCTGTTCAAACTCCTGCTTTTCGAGAGCGTCAAATAGAGAAATGGATAAGAATTGCAGCAGGTCCTCTGTTAGCTAATAATCATGGTAGGCCAAGATCACATCCATTTATAAGAGAATATTAGTAGTTTGTGTAAAAAAAAAAGAAAAACTCTGAATTCTGTGTCATGATTACATTCTTAATTACCGCTCGCATGGTCGCCTACTAAAGCTTTACTTTGATGGGAGAAAAATTAATTGCAAATAGAAATAGTTGTTTACATTAGAAGATGTGTATTAATGGAAAGATTGTACTGGGTTGCTGTAAAAATTTATCGAACATTTACTCTCCCTCCCTCCTGCACTGCACTCTACACATAAATTTGTTTATGAATCAAGAGGATTTATTCTTAAATGAAATTTCCAGCTGAGGGTTTAGGAATCAAGGAGCTGGTGCAGCCCTATCTTGACCCGAATCTACAAATTCAGGACCTTCTTACCGGCGTAAACTTTGGCTCTGCCGGTGCAGGATTTGATACTGTCACCCCTAAAGTACTGGTAAATTAATCATACTCTTCCTTTGTCTCTTGCTATTCTTCAACCCATGTTTTTATCTTCTGTTCCATGACTAAAGTCGTTTCTTTTCTTTTTGTCTTCTTATTCATCAAACCAAACCAAACCTTCAGTCGGTGTTGACAATGTCGAATGAGTTGGAGCTATTCCATGAATACATAGATAAATTGAAGGCAGCTGTGGGAGAGGAGAGGACGGCGACCATCTTATCTGAGAGCATATACATTGTCTGTGCAGGAACCAACGACGTTTCAGGGTATTTCCTGACTGATTTCAGGAAAAAGAACTACGATGTCCCTGCTTACACGGATCTCATTGTCCAATTAATTTCTGGTTTCATCAATGTAAGTTTTGAGTGTAGGATAGTGGCAACCTGCATGCATCCTCTATTCTCTTCGATCAAATAATAATAAAGAACAGAAAAGAAAAAATAGATTTCAAAAAATTAAAACCAGTTTTGAGAAGCTGTGGAATTTGGTTTATGACTAATTAAGCTTGGCAGGAACTATACGAACTTGGGGCAAGAAAAATTGCTGTGTTGAACACTCCACCAGTAGGATGTGTGCCATTCCAGAGAACCCTTGGTGGAGGTAAAAACAGAGAGTGTGCAGAGAAGTTCAACTTTGCAGCAAGGCTGTTGAACTCAAAGCTATCTTCCCTGCTTAATTCACTTAATCACAAGCTCCCAGAGATAAGGCTGGTTTACATCGATTTTTACTCTTCATTACTGGATATCATCCAAAGGCCTCACAATTATGGTACCCCCCTCCCCCTCCTCATCTTCTTCGTTAATTGTGCCTGATTTGTCTGCTACAAATCAGGATTAGTTTGAGTAATTACTAACTTGTCATGGTTAATGACTGAACAAACCCCAGGATTTGAAGAGGTTAAAAAGGGATGCTGCGGTACAGGGACTATAGAACAAGGAATACTGTGCAATGAATTGAACCCTCGTACGTGTACAGATGTCTCCAAGTATGTATTTTGGGACAGTTATCACTTCACAGAGAGAACCAACAAGGCCCTGTTCACTGCATTTCGACAGAATCTCGTAAACAACTTGTTCTAGAGGCGGCGAATGCTAATCGTAATCGGGCTGCTCATCTCATGAAGCGGCACAAAGGGGATTTAATTGAATTAGGAGTGTTTTGGTCAGACCCACTCACCCACCCACCAGATTGGTTCACAGATTGTTTAACGAATGTCTCTGGCAAGTATAAATGAAAATTTTATCAAGCACATCACATCTTGTAAGCCAATCCAACGTTAACCAAATGTCCATCATCATTATTTTCTTCTAAGCCTTGTCTTTATGTTCATCAAATATCCATACTAGGCCATTTGCGTCTACCTTGCGTAGAGGGACTACTGAGGGGCCAATTTTATGATTTTATCCGATCTTCTACTAGCAGGGCGTGTACAGTGGACTACATAGCTGGTCAGGAGTGGACACGTCAGTGATCTGTTGGTTCCAATTTATCATGTCCTCCCGTTCCAACTACCAATCCTTCATCCACCCGTTCAAGGGGTCATCAACATTGATGATAAAGCAATCCGGTGCTTCTTGTTGGTCGACAGTTTTGTAGGCCAACACAACTATCACCACCACCATAACAACAACACCAATAATAATAATAATAATATAATCCTATATAATTTCATGCATTTTCTAAAACCTACCCTATAAGATTAAGATTTGCGTTTTTATTAAAGCATCACCTATAATTTACAACCAATTTACTTGAGACCCAATTTATTATCATTTGAAAATGATCACAAGACCACCAAACGAGCACGTACGATTTTTATTTCGATAGTACCCTAGCACTTGATGTCAAGCTTTAGCGTCTAGGAAGTTGTTCCATCAAAGGGGATGGGATGGGTAACAAAATCAAATGATTAACCAGTCGACACACAAAATGACTTGACTATTCAGTAATAACCAGTAGATCCAGAAGTGGATTACAAAAAGAGTATACCATTAGCTTTAATCAACTGATAAAAACATCAACGTATAGAAATTAAGGGGCGTAGACTAATGAACCGCGGATTACTCCTGCGTAATTTACTAGTGAGGAGTTTCGTGATTTGGATCAAGTCTCCTGATTTTTTTTCATTCTATCACGTGCAGTGTCTACTTATCATTTGTTTAGAAACAAGTTATGGCAATACTATTCTTGTGGATTATGCAAATTAATGTGATATAGGCATAAGTGGATACGGAGATAACCAATACATGACAAGCAAATAGAAGTCCGTAACCATTAACCAAGGTCTTTAATTACAACATTTTGTGTTGATTAATATAAAATTTTGAGAAATTATCTTATCACACCGCATTATATATTGGGTTGGGTATTGACATTTATTATACAAACATCAGATTTGATGAAACAACAATGGTACCTGATGATGTGCGTTTTGGCAGGTGACTCAGATGCTTAGCTAAATGATGACGAGTTGAAAGGTGGCTCTGACGCCTAATAGAATGGTGACGAGTTAGGAAGTGGCTCTGACGCCAAACTGAATGGTGACGAGCTGGAAGGTGGCTGACACCTAGTTGAATGGTGATGAGCTGGGAGGTGCCTCTGATGCCTAGCTGAATGGTGACGAGCTGGAAAGTGGCTCTGATGCCTAGCTGAATGGTAACAAACTGGAAGGTGGCTCTAACACCTAGCTAAATGGTGACGAACTGTGAGATGACTCTCACACTTAGCTGAATGGTGACGAATTGGTAGGTAGCTATGACGCCTAGCTGAATTGTCCCTACCTGAAGGTGGCGAGCTGCATAGTTTACTGGTGCAACCTGCAAGGAAACAATGACAATGTCTAGGTTGCTTTACCCGGGGTGGGCACTCCGATGCTTAAGTCAGCAAATCAGAGATTTTTTAAGAGAGTTGCGAGAAATAAATTGTGCATGTACCTTCTGATGTTGGAGGCAAGGCATATTTATATAGGCATTGTTTGGCGTGGGCATCACGCACTGCGTACGAGATCTCTGGGTGATGTGTTTAACTGGTCCAAAGTCCTCAAAAGTAGTCGTGCACATAGGCCAGTCTCTGTGCCTTATTCGGTTTCTCCGGAACATTCAGAATAAGAACCAACTTCCGAGAGACCCAGGAGTGACGAGATAGATGTAAAATTCGTCGACGAGCATGTCTCGCAAGTTGCCACCTAGACCTCAATCAGGTCAGCAAACCCTCAAGGGAGGTCTCTCCACACATCAAGGTCGCTTCGACCAGTACTGACGAAGTACCACAAGTCGACCCTGTACGAGGTGCTTCTAACCGCCCTAAGTTGTGGACGAGGTCGCTAGTTAGGTTTCCACCAGGTAGGTGGAGGCTGGTCACCAAGTCAACAACAGAGGCAAGTCGTAAGGTCAACAGCAAAGGCAGGTCGCTAGGTCGACAACAGAGGCAGGTCGCAAGATCACCAAGTCAATTGTGACCTAGGTGGTTATGGGGTGTCACCCAGTTGTTCCAAGATGTCATGTGTCATCAATACTCAATGTTGTATCAACTCAAACCATTTGTGATAGGTAAAAATATTCATAAAATTTATGTTGACCAACCTAGAACGTTACAAGTAAAAGTGGCAATGGTACACCGTCAGTAATAGCAGCACCCTTGTGCACCCAGGTCATGTATAAAGCGTCCTGCAAAGGGCTTAGCCACTAAGCCACCTGCTAGCAGTGTGGAAGTGGAAGTGGAAGTGGATGTGATGCATGTGGTGGAAGTGCAGAAGTGGAAAGAAATAGTATAGAGATAGGGGTTCACCAATCACCAACAGTTGGCGAATGTGCAACGATAAAACTTCATACATAAAATCTTTTTGTTGTTGTTTTTGGATGTGATACATAAAATCATGTCCACAACCATAGGGCCTTCCACTAGAAATAAGTTGACATACATACAAGCGGGCAACTAACTACTTCCATTAGGTTAAACATGTATACGTAACCAATAGATGATATACACTAACTCCACAAATGAAGATTGCTTATTGATAGCAGAAGCAACTGGACCAAACAAATCGAACTAAACATAGGAGATTCAGGGACGAGATCTTTTGTGTATCAACAGACGGCTGTCAAGGTATAATTACTCGGCTTGGGATTCAATGAGCACTCACGAGAAATGGATGCTGGCAGACTCCACATTCTATGGTCTCAGAACCAGAGCTTGGAACTTGAACCTGCACAAAAGCACAAAACATCAAGGGGTTTATTATTTATTTCTTTTATATGCTATGCGACTTTGTCTGTATGGAATGAAAACGACAAAAAATTGCAATAGAACAAGCATTTCAAACCTGTAAATGGACCGTGCAAATAGGACAGGCAACTTCTCTCATCCTCCTCCCAGATCCATCAGACCTTGAACCTGAAATTTTCAATTACTTGAGCAAGGATGAACAAGAATCTTCGCTTTGAGTCTAAACAGCATGCAGATTAATCTATTTGCTAATCTTCGTCAAATCATCATGACAGACAGACAGAAGCCATGCAACTTGCCATTTGATATGGTTCAATAAAGGAGATCGAGATTAACAACAACCAAATTGGGTGGTTAAGCTCTCCCTTATCATATGGACTTTCCATGCAAGTTCCCCAAGGTAATTGACCATTAGATGCTCTTCACAGCCCCTTGTAGGAAGAAATTGGAAATGGCAATCACATCTAAAACAACCTCGATACTTTTAACTTATCTCTTTGCATTGAATGGATGGGAACAGATCAAAACACACCCAACCCCTTCCCCCCACCTGCACCCCCAAAAATAATATATTATTTACATACCAATGATACCATAGAACATTTTATCCACTGATAATTACCTGATGACGATCTGCGATTTTTGTCCATCTCCTCCTGTCAAAAAATTGCCAAATATATGCATATTAAGATCAATTACAAATCAGGGATGATCCAAGTTCAATGGAAAAGAAAAAGAAATAGAGAAGGAAAAATGAAACAAAACAAAGGTGCAAGAAGAGTGGACCTTAAGATTGCAATTCTTTCTGAATGGTGACCAATACAAGAATATCCGAGAAAAAAAAAACATATAAATAAAGGAACAAAATCTATTACAGCTCCATATATAGTTTAGAAAAAAATGGAGCTAAATCAATATACTGTAGGCTTCTTGTAAATCTAAAGTATTCCACAATTTTTTTATCAATCTTCCACAATTTTACCAAAACAAATATAGTGAATGTTTCATAGTATTAGCCTATAGTCTTCTTATTCATAAAATTTTGGCCTTGCTTTCTTGAGATAACGCTTATTTTCCAAAATTAAATAACTGATTTGTAATCTAGAATAAGACGAGGTAACACCTTTAAAAACACTGGAATATAGAACTAAGGCCCAGTAATTGCAATTATGTGCCCCAGGTCAACAATCTTCGATTCAATATGCATGGGCCTGAAACCTAAAAAAGAAACAAAACAAAGGTCCAAGTGCATTCTTCCAGTCTGGAGCAGTTAAAAATCCTCTACCTTCTGATATGGTCCATTTAAAATGGAAACAAAACATTGATAACTAATTCAATTAAACAAAAGTCTTGATTACAATGAGTGAACCTCTACAGCGCTAGGGAATTGCAGCTAAAATTCCTATGGACATAAAGATAATCTATGAGCTTAGCTGATGCATTAGCTAGCAAAGAGGTGAACAGAAGAGTTTTGTGTTGAGGGGTCTTTCCATGAAAGTTGCAAAATTGGGGTTAGGTAGGTAGGAAATATCCTAAGAAATAAAGTCATTCAAAGGAACCTTGGAGTAGCTTCAATTGGTGATAAAATGAGAGAAAGTAGACTCAATATAATTGGGATATCCTAAGAAATAAAGTCATTCAAAACCATTGAGAGAAAGTCATTCAATGGTTTTGACATGTGCACAGAAGACCACCAAAAGCAACCCATAAGAAGAAGTGATGTGTTGCAAGCTGAAGGGGCTAGAAGGGATAAGGGTAGACAATGGGTATGACATTAAACAGAACAGAATGGTGAAACAGGAATCATGTAGCTGACCCAATATAATTGGGATAAAGCTTGGATGATGATAATGATGATGATGATGAGCTGGGGCTACCTTAACTTTCAAAGCAGGTGCTAGGCACATTTTGTACTGAAATTTTTTCCTTTTTAACACATTAATAAAACTTCTGGTTACCAACCAAAAAGAAATATTACCTATTGTTCACCAAGTTTCTTATAATGAGTTAATGATTGATGAACAACTGTCAAAACAATGCTAAACAGTAAGCACCACGACTAGTAGAAACAAATAAACAATTTTATAGGATGCAAGATTAATCTGCTGCCACCTGAAGCTTCCTGGCAAGATCCTCATGGCTGTGCAACACAGCAGGTTTGCTGGCCGTTTCCCTTGCACTACTTAGCCTTTGAGTAACTTCTGCCTGCAACCAGAATATGAGACAGTAAGTCTCTTTGGCTTTTCAGCATAACTGGGTTTACTTGCAAAGCTGCGGAACATGGAAATCCTTCTAGGCCAAGTCAAGTAGGCCAACCTTAATTGCAACATCAAGTGATTGTGATGAATTTCTGAAATTCCATTTATCTAATGGTAAGAAACATGTAAATAACAAATAAGAAAAGGTGACAGACTTTCTCTAAGGAATAATTCTAACCATTCATCACAATTAAAACAAAGGTTGTTAATTCACGACAAGTGAAAGTCATCAAAATAGAATTTTAATTAAAACAAAAATAAAGTTATTAGGTTCTGAAACAGCTTAACTTGGTAGAGTCGTTCCTATTCCCATGATTTCAATGTTTAACCTCTTTATACACCCAAAAGAGACTGACCTTTATCGGTTGCTACTAGAACAAAGAACATGATCCCAAATATCAAAGATAATTAAATCCATAGCCCAGATGGTGATTCCTCATTGTACAAAACCAAAGGATAAGGTTAACACCATCATTTAGTGGGTCCAAGCTAAAATAACCCTCGCATTCATATAGAACAATCTAAACATAATATCATGTCTGGTTTTTCAATTTTTCAGTCAAATAAGAACAGTGCAGAGAAGCAGGGATTACCATCCAGTCATATTATTTTCTTGCCTATGCAATCATATTGAACAGGAATAAGAAAATTTCCAGGTTAACATATTAAGTGGTTGGTCTACTCAAAATTAACGATTCTTACAAGTTAAGTGGTTAACATATTAAGTGCATACCATGCATCGGTCACAAACTCGAACTGGCTGAGCTTGCTCATCTGCTGTGAGAGCAATTCTCCCATGAGTACACTTGTCACAGAAAATATCCCCACAATTCCTGCAGTGGTGCTGAAGTTTTGAAGGAAACAATGAAGTTAGAATGTGGGAAGCAATACATTCCTTGAAGCTCAAAGTTACACCAAACAAACTTTATGATAAATGGTTAAAGTCAATGTGAAAGTCACACCTTTCTCACAAAAGCTCCAAAATCTGTCCCACAAGCTGTACATTTGGTAACTGCTTCGTCAGGAACCTGTTTCATCAGGGGTGCAGTGGGATAACAAACTCAAAGGATTAACCAAATGACAGAAAATGACTACTCAGTAAAAACCAGTAGATCCAATAACAAAAGCCATTTTCCAGAAGCAGTGGATAGCACACATAGAGTAAATATTAGGTTTAATTAATCAAGCGATAAAAGGAGCCTTCAATTTTAAATCAATGACTATGTAGCCCATATATACTTAAGGTTCTGGGCCAACAACTTGTTTTGAAATCAATAAATTCCAAATGCATCATCAACAGTAATCATGCCTCTTTACTCTCTCAGTGTTTTAAGAAGCATGCACCTCACTTCAACTCAAGTGCAAGCCTATTTCAAAAGATACAACCATGTCCACAAATGCTTGAACTTAGTGTCTGTGTTATCTGAAACTTACCGTTCATTCATGTTCGCATGATCACTTTTTTACTAGCCTTCATAAACTTACCGTTCATCCATTTCCACAGTTTCATCTAGGCCAACTCAAATAAAGAAAAACAAATAGTTCATGGCATGAACTTATCCTTTTGAGTGTAGACATAATAAAGTAATTGTTGCCTTTCTAGACAGGCCAATAGTTGTCAAGGCGATGCCTAGGTGACTAGGCAACTTTTAGAGGTCGACTCGCCTAACACCAATATAGTTTTCATATTACCTGTATATATATTTATATCATTTTATTGGCTTGTTTTATTATTAACATACACCTAGTGGTATGTTACACTTTTTTTTATTATGATAGTTCTTCTTTTATTAGAATTATGCATATGTTACAAGTTTTTTGGGTTCTAAACCGAGACTGAGAAGAGAAGATAGAAAAGACTGACGACTGAGAAGAGAAGACAGAGAAGACCAACAACTGAGAAGAGTTTCCATTGTTTCAACTGAAACTGCAAAGAGAAGACAGATAAGACCGATGACTAAGAAGAGTTTCGGTCCAAGACCTCCAGGACCTCCAGGTAAGTTCTTCCTTTTCCTTCTTCGAATGGTCCTATCAGTCTTTTATTTTCATAGTTTTTTTAAATACTTTTGGGAACAAAACTGGGGCTCTGCCCCCTTCATCCCCTTATTTTGGAACGAAACAGGGGTTCCATCCCCTCATTTTTCTCCTTTTTCGTTGCATTCAACCTTGTTATTGGCCTGAAACAGGGCCTCTGCCTCTTAAACACAGTCCAAGTTGTCCAGAGTCCCCTTATTTTTTTTCTTTGTCTCACTGCATTTCCTTTTTTTGTTGGCCTGATACAGGTTATTAAACATTGAAATTAATATATTTAAATGATGTATTTATGATGGTATTTTTATGTTTTTATATGAAAATTATAGTTAGCTACTCATTTGAATGGTTTTATTGGTATAAAAAACTAATGAAGTAGCTAAGGAGAAGTAGGGATCCTTATATTTTATGCTTTCAGATTCCATTGCCTAGGCGCCTGGGCACCCGGTGGTCACCTAAGCTCGCTTAGGCACCATGACAACTATGGACAGGCCTGGTCCAAGTAATTGAGCAGATGATTCTCTTTCAAGACAGGTGGAGCTCGCCCATGTACTCACTCCTTGACCTCAAGTCCAAGGCTTATGCAGATCCAGAACTTGACTAGATCCAAGAACAGTGGTCTTACGATCCAATGTCAACACCAGGATACACTGTGAAAGGGAATGATTTGTATTTCAAGGGCTGGAAAGTTATCTATTCTTCCTTAGCCCATATTCAGAACATACTGCAACTATTTCATACTTTGCCAAAGTCAGAGAATCAGTGGCTCAGTGCCAAATTTGCCAGCAGCAGAAGTATGATACAAATCTGCCAGCTGGCATTCTCCAGCCCAGTGTTTTAAAAGCGAAAGGCACAAGGTGAGGCACGCGCCTTTTTGAAGCAAGGCGTGAAAAAAAACTAAAAATAAAAAAAAAAGTCAGAAATTCCAAAAAATGCCAACAAAATCAAAAAAATTAAAAAATATAAAAAATATATTAAACGTAATATTAATAAAAAATATAAACTTAAATTTTAAAATAAATGCTTTAAAAAAACCTATTATCTAAAATTTAAATACATAAACATAACATGTAAAGTGTATTCAAATGAAATTTTAAAAATAAAATCAAACATATAAAACATTTTCAAGCATATAAAACCCACAATCTCTTTTTTTCCTCAATTGCATTACTTCAAGTAGGCTAATGTGATGTAAAACATATTATATTCCTGATTCTACAAGCTGCCTTTGTACCACGCCCCTCAAGGCAAGCCCAAACAAGCGTAAAATTTTCAAAAGGCGTGCACCTTTTGAAAGTACTGCGCCTAGGACCTGGGCGAGGTGCCTACCCTAAAATACGCCCTGCCTGTGCGCCTAAGCGTGCCTTTTAAATCACTGCTCCAGCCATTGCCAATTCCCAACCAAGTGTGGGATGATTCAGCAAATTATCATTTTGGCCATGGTGGACCGTCTGACCAAAAATGTCCATTTCATTGGCCTTCCCCATCCTTGCACAGTTTCTTTGGTGGCTGAAGCATATATCAAGGAGGTGGCAAAACTACATAGCACACCAAGGAGTAACCTCACAGACCATGATCTGACCTTCATGTGTAGATTTTGGGCCGATTATTTCTGTTTTCAAGGCATACTAACCATTGCACAATCACCAGCTATCATCCTCAGGGAGATGTTCAAACTGTTTTTAATCATTGTTGGAGACCCACCTACTTTTTTAGTGGGTGGCCATTCAAAACAATGGAATAAATAGCTTCTATGGCCAACAAGGTGATGTATGGAAGGGACACCCCATAAATTCTGCCTTATGAACAAGGCTCCATAGCTGTTGCCTCGGTAAAATATCAGATTTTACAAGATTTGAAGGCCTATCTACTTCAGGCACACCAACTCTTGAAGTCCTCTTAAGACTAAGCATCGAGACATTGAATACCAGGTGGGAGACTTCATCTATCTCTGCTTACAACCATACAGACAAATATCAGTTGCACACAGACCATGGCAGAATCTAGCGCCTTGTTACTTCAGCCCATTTCGCATCATAGAATGAGTGAGTCCTTTAGCCTACAAGTTACAGCTCCCAGATGCCTCTAAATTGCAGCCAAAAAAAAAACATGGAACCCTCAGTTATTAGCAGTCCAATTTCTCCGTAGAAGGCAAGCTTCAGACTGATCCATCCAAAATTGTCAAATTCCGCTGGGAGATGAGAAGATCCAGCAAGAGCTCCCAACTACCAACCTTGGGGACAAGGGGGCAGGAATTGTTAGGCATCCAGCAATAAAAGGGATGCTTGGCTCCCTCCCTCCCTACCTAGCCCCATTGACTAAACTGGTTTGCATCTCCATACAGAGTTGATACAATATAGGGAAATCCTATGGTCATCATCTGGTAATATATATGGAACTGGGCCATAACTCACCATAGGGAGCAGTGACCCCTGTATCATATTTTTCTAAATGATTTAAAACCATATGATAAATTTTCAGAAACATATCAGAGCAGTGTATGTAATGTACTGTGCAGTGTACACACATACAAACCCAACTATTCATGAAACTAGTTACCCACTTAACCTTACAAGACCAGTTGTCGATTTCAGGATTGAAGATATTGGATTATAGGTTTTGATGCATTTGGGTTCTATGTTTTCAGATTCATAAGCCTTATCAATGAGATGGACAAGCCTTATTGATGAGATGGTTAAGCAAAAGTACTAGTCTTGATGGTGGCAGATAGCATGTCACTGCCTCCAAGACATAAATGTGAAAAAAAAATAAACAATATTGAATTCCTGCAAGTAAATGACAATAAATGAACAGCCATTTGAAGTATACAAATTAAAAAGAATTAAGAAGTAAATACATAGTTGTCTAAGTCCCAATCCTGTGACAAGAATCTAGGAACAATAAAAAGAAGAACATGGTCTATAAGGTGTTCTCCAGACACACCTCAGATTGGAGGCACAAGCCTCTACAGCTGCAGCTGCACCCTAATGAGAGGTGTAAGCCACCTTTGACAGATTATCAAGGGAGTGATCTACAATATGAATGATTTTGTTTTCATTTGTTTTTAAAATTATCACATGAACAAAAATTTGAAATACATTCTTGAGCCCTGTTTTTATTTTGAGAAGAAAAGACAAGTTGGTTTTGTTTCAAAAAAAAAAAAACATTTATGGTTTTGAAACCATCAAAATAAAGGCTTTTAAACCAAAAAAAAATGGAGTACAGATTTTTTTTTTGAAATGTAAAATGGAAAGTGATATTAAAGAAAAGAATATACGGAATACAACCTAAAGGCACTCATCAAAAAAAAAAAGAAAAACTCCTTCCAACCACCCAAAACAGCATATGGGGAGAGAAAAAAGAATTGAAACCACTCTTGTCAATCTTCCACCTCACCAAACTTTCCAGGCCTTCCTTCCTCATCCCAAATTTCTCCCCCTAAGGCTTCAGAAGCTTTCCTCATACTTCGTTCCTCCCTCTTCCTCTCAAATGCTTCGAAAGCTCTTCTAACAAACCTCTCTCCTCCCAAGAAAAACAAGCCCAAAAGTTTGCCAATTTCCACCTCTTTGTCAACTAAAATGTCCAAATCCAATCTTCCTTTCTTCATCTCCTTTCCCTTCGGCGCCTCAGCAGAGACCTCTTCAATTTAATTTCCATCTCCACTAGCCTTCTCTGACATTTCATTCTTTTTCGACTCCTCCCTTTGAGAATCCACTGGAAAAATCATCTTCCCAACACCTTCGTGTAAAAGTCGATTTTCCATGCAAGGATTCTCATGACTGAGATCTGAATTTTACCCTTCTTCTTTTATAAATCCTTTTATATTTGTTGGTCGGCCCTGCCCCCAGCAGGCCATCTTTCAGCCTTGAAAAGACCTTCACAACATGAACCACATTGAACTTAGTTGAAACTCTGGACTTCTTTGAAACCTCTAAAACATCACCACTTCCAACCAGAATGGTCTCCTTCTCCCTGTGGCCCAAATCAACTCCCAATCTTCCAACAACCACTTCATATACCGAATAGTCAGAGATGCATCACCTTCTTACCCTCACCTCCTCTTATGCCACCCCCCTCTTCATTGTCACCTCCATCCCTGCCCTTGAGCTCACTGCTCACCGTTCACTACGTCTTCCACTGCGTCCACCCTAACTTCACTCACATCCCCCTCTGAAAATCCTTCCTGAGAATCAATGACAAAACCCCTACTCTCCTAACTCAACTCAGAAAAAGAAAAAAAGGCTCAAACCTTGCGTACCTTCGGCTGGTTCACGAGACAACATCGGATTTGACCTCAACCAGCTTACCTTGAAGAAGCTCCTCAGATCTCGATTTAGGTTCGCAAATCACAAAGCAAAGCTCAATTACACGATCACCAAAAATAGCACTCCAATAAACCAGTGATCAAACCCATCTTTCAATAAGACCTGGAAGTCGCCTGATGCCTTCTCTCTTTTCTTCCCTTTCAAACTCCAATCACACCTCTACCTTTACTGAGGACCACGCACATATTAAAAATACTCAAATAATTCACGCCTAAACCCTTGCCATTAATACAAAGTGAACTCTTCGCTGTCACTTGGAAACTGCCCAAAGGAAAAATCACTTTATATGAATTATGAACCGACATTAAACCACCAGAAGAAAACATGCTCTTTAAACCATAAATTCAAGAAAACGTTTTTTAGATTAAGTTTTGGAAACGAAAAACACATAAACAACCAAGAACATTTTTTCTGCATTTTGTTTTAAAAACCAATTTGTTTTAAATCAAATGGTTTTGATTTGTTTTTGGAACTCACAACAAGAAAAAACAATTCACATATTGTCTTCATTATGTCTGCACAAAGTTAAATGACAGGGGGACAGGGGTTAAAGATCAGTACGGTATATCTCACATATCTCCTTATGAATACACAAACATGATGATTGTATGGTTTTATGGATTTTCAGTGAAGAAATTGATGCACAAAAAGCAATTTTTAGAAACATGATTGTATTGTTTTATGGATTTCCAGTGAAGAAACTGATGCACAAACATGTTTTGAAACAATTTCCCAATCTTACCCAATGATCTTTTTCCTCATTGCTAGGCTTCATCAAGTTCACCCAATCAGAAAAACCTTTCTTTCTCTCAGTAGACTGTTCAGATAACTTTATGGACTCAGAAGGTTTGCTTCGTCCACCCATCTCCTTAAGCTGCATTCCAAATAAGAGTTTAGCATTTCACTATTATCAACACAGACAAAAGCACATATCACACATACACATCAGAGAAAACAACAAAGGAAAAGAAAAAAAATATTTAAAAGAGAAAAAACAAGTGGAAACATCATAGAGAATGTCTAAATGAAAAGGAAAGAAAATTAGACTGAAAGTACCAGACTCTAAAAAAACCATGCACAGACATGTTAGTAAATTCTAAGCTCCATAAAATTTGACCACATCATTGCATCATGTAATGTAATGACTAATGAAGCACCAATATATTCTTTACACCAGGTTGAGGAATATTCAAAAGGAAAGGTGTCCCAATTGAATATATGAACAAAGGTAAAAACATGAATAGATAATATATGTAAAGGCAATATACTAACCGAAAATTTTAGTTCTACATGCAAAAAATTGCAATTATCAATAGCATATTTAAAATTTTAGATGTTGCAGAAGTATACACCATGCACTTTAATCACCCAGCCCTCTAGAATGGCCACCTTAGAATCCCTGATGCAATGACAGATTCTCTCCATTATAACTATTTGCTGGCCCGACTAACAGGTCCAAGTTACCCACTCAAGGTTCATAAAGGCCACAACAATAGTCCAACAGCCATGTGTGTGTCATAGATAAGGTAATTATGAATCAAATAGAGGATAATCTTGCCATCTAAAATAGAGCTTGGAGAACTCTTGCTTTTCATCAACCTAAAGCCAATCAGACGATTCAGACCTTATTCAGGTTTACAAGAACTGATTTTTTTTTTATTATTAGATTTAACTTAGATATGCAATGATTCAACCCAACAAGGATCTCCCTCTCAGCCCCCAAAATGAACATTATAGAACCAACAGCACCAGATCTAGATCAGAGCAAACACTTTACACAACAGCCAGCAACACATGGTTTGGCCAAGGTTGGTAGCTGGCACACTTGCCAAATAGTAAAGCTGACAACAGTTCTACAAGATGTTGCCCTGGTCGAGGTTCACCTAGATTTTTTTTGGTAATAAGTTTCACCTAGATTAGACTGTAATAAGTTTCACATTGGGGAGAAGGTTGATCACCAGGTTGACATGACCAGAGATTAAACTGTAGCAAAATCAAGTGTTTGGGATGATAGATGGCAAGTTGTGAAAAAAAAGGTGTTTAGAGATGGAAAAAAAAAACTATGATTTAGAGTTTCGACAGGTTATATGGTTGGAAATGATGACTAAATTACAAAAATAGCCTGCAAATCATAATTAATTACATGTCCATTCCATAAAACGGGTGAGCATTTAATGGTGCATATTCAATACATGGCTACATGTATCTTTAACTGTTAGATAGGTGCCTGATAAGATTCATCCATTCAGTGTAATATAAAGTTTATGGGTATTTGGGCCACAATGGATCAGAATGGAAGGGATCAATAGCTGATCCATTAATGGCTGTACAAGGAACTTCCTAGGATGTTAAATCGTTAAGTCCATCAGATCTGCTGTAAGCACATTATCTGCAGGAAGATCATTTGGACCCAATCTAAATTTATGAGCATTCTCAAGTATGTAAACATGCCAACCCTCCACATGAGAACATGGCACCTTCTCATAGAAACAATTTGACAAATAACATGACCATAGCACATTCTCAACAAACATGCATATATAAAGATAGAATGTGCAGAAATATTACTGAAAACAAACCTAAAGAGATGTGAAGCAGCACTATATTTCAGACAAGAAACAACAAGTGTTTAGTTTCCAACCTGAACAGTTGCAGCTGTCACAGTGTCAAGAATGGTGCTAGTTGTATAGCTGTTTGATTGTAGTCTTATGCGTCTTGGTTCAATATCAACTGAGCTTTTGGACCAAAAAGTAAAGATAGACGAATCGGTGACCTAAATCGCAAGAAATGAATTTCAGAAACATTTTCATAGAAAACAGTAATTCAGGAAAATTAGGTAGAAACATTCCAAGATAAGAATGCAACTGCCAGACTTCCAATTGGAAGGATACAACAGAATTCCTCGTTAGGAAATTTAAAGTGAAGAATGCAACCAATTACCTCCCATCTTGTCACTGTCTCAAGTGGGTAAATTCTCAATGTCCGACTTGTACTGGGATCAAGCATTCGAATACCATCCAAACCAATCTGAAATAGAGGGAAAAACAGCATTGTTTGTAAGTAAAAAGAAAAATTATATTTCAAGGCTACAAAGAGCAAAAAAATGAAATTCACTGCCATAATCAATGCGATGATGTATTAAATAGGGGTGCATTTTAGGTGGCTCCGTGTGGAGCATTTGTCAAATTTTGAAGGGACCCAGACTTGATAGAAAGTAAACTCTTCAAATAGGCACCCATCTTGCACTCTAGAATAAACAAAGAATAACCAACAGGAACTGTTGGGCTGAACCACAAATATTCTTGTATAAGCAATGATGCCAAAGCAACAGTTGTACCTCCAAGAAACAAATTTAACTTTGACAGATATCATTGTCATTCATATATTAGCAAGCCAGAACATGAAAGATTGTATTAGCTTAAGTTATGAAAGTAAGAATGTTTATGTCCAAAAACAATATACCATCACTGGACAAAAAAAGGCACCGGTCAAGACCAAATGCTGATGTTGCTGGAGAAGGGGAAAATCTTAATACTGTTTAGATTCTGATCCGGATGTCATGAAAGATGGTTGGTGCTGGAAGGGATTCAGAGAGTTAATTTATTTTAGGCAACAATAGTTAGGGTTATGGATATAAGGATATTGTCTGGTATAATGGTAAAATCTCTCGCTGACAAGCGTGACAACGCAGGTTTGAGTCTGAAAACAGCCACTTTGTGCAAAAATAAATGTCAAGGCTTAAGTGTGTATCCAGTCCACCCCTCCCAACACCCCAGATAACTAGGACCAACAATGGGTGATGGCCTTCTAGTTAGGGATGAGGCTACAAACAGTATCCGTTTGTCCAAATATCAATTTGAATGTAATCTGATTAAAGGTGATCTGGATTTGAACCATTTATAATTGGATAAAATGTCAATCCAATATACCCCTACCCAATCCAATAGTATTTATTAGTGAAGTTGGCTTGAATGTTTTATGTTTACTAAAGAGCCTTAGGTTCAAGTCTTATATAAGTTATTTTCCATTCATTCTGTTCATGATAATACAATATCAAGGTAATTATTAGTTCATTTTATTAATAATATATAACACTTTGCTCTTTTTTAGTTCAATTTATTAATTCTATTCAATATCAGAACTGAAATCCAAAACTGATTTAAATCCAATGGGTAAGGAGGTCAAATTTATTAGTCATCATCTCACAACATTGACGACAATGTATTGCCAAAGGAGGCAGTGATTTAAAAGGCACGCCTGACTAGACAATGCATTGCCAAAGGAGTTAAGGAGGTCAAATTTATTAGTCATCATCTCACAACATTGACGACACCGTGATCTGCTCAGGCATCACAAAAGTGACAAATTGCACTATTTTTTATCTGTGGTTGTTAATGTAACTAGATTGTGAAAAAAGAAAGATAAAATGTACAATGGTGTCTGTGTGTGCCTAGCAACCCTTTAGAAATAAATGGATATGTCCATAAAAAAATGTCATATTATTTCAAATAATTAAAGATAGACAGGGCGAAAAAACTTTTAAGTAGATTTTGCATTGACTAATTGGCCTAGCTAATGTTTAGTTGTCCTAGTTGACTGCATCATGTGTAAAAATTTGTTAGGGTTGCAGTCAAATAGTTATCATCATCATCCATAACATATCCAAACCATATGAAACCGGCTACATGAATCCTGTTTCACCAATCCGTTCTATTCAACACCATATCCACCGTTAAATTATTGGTGCTTAAATCATTTTTAACTACTTCCACCCATGTTCTTTTTTGTCTACCCCAAGCTCTTCTAGCCCCTTCAATGTGTAACAAATCACTTCTTCTAACCAGCACAGTTGGTGGTCTTCTATGGATGTGCCCAAACCATCTTAGTCCACTCCCTCTCATTTTATCACCTATTGGAGCTACCCCTAGGTTCTTACAGATAACTTCATTCCTAATCCTATCTTTTATAGTTTTCCCACTCATCCATCTTAGCAGTCGCATTTTTGTGGCATTCATTTTTTGGACATTTTTCTTGATTGCCCAACACTCTACTCCATACAACATAGCTGGCCTTACAACTGTTTCATAGAATTTTTCTTTTAATCTAAGTCGCATTCGCCTATCACAAAAAAGTCTAGATGCACCCCTCCATTTTGCCCCATCCTACTCTAATTCTTGGGTGGCATCCTTCTCAATCTCTCCCTTGTTATGGATTATTGAACCAAGGTACCGAAAATGATCACATTGAGTTATATCTTGGTCTCCAATCCTAAGTGTATCTTGATTTACACTCCTATTATTACTAAATTTTCATGTTGTATACTTTGCTCTAGTCCTACTTATTTTAAAACCTCTTCTTTCTAAGGCATTTGTCCATAAGCTTAACATTGCATTTAATCCCTCATTAGTTTCATCAATTAAAACAACATCATCCACAAACAACATGCACCATGGAACTTCCTCCTGAATATGTTTAGTCAATTCATCTACGATCTGTGCAAATAGATAAGGGTTGTGTCGAACCTCGGTGAAGAATTGAAGATCCATAGTAATCGTAAAATCTGAAAAATCTGAAGGCTCTCCCACTGATGATCTAACTTTGGTTGTTGCCCCCTCATATGCCTTTTCTAGGTTAATGAAAATCATATGAAGATCTTTCTTCATCACTCTACACTTTTCTATCAATCGTCTCAAAAGAAATTTAGCTTCCATGGTTGATCTCCCTAGCATAAAGCCAAATTGGTTCTCTGAAACACTTGTTTCAAGTCGTAATCTTTGTTCAAGTATTGTCTCCCAAAGTTTTATAATCCCCCGATAATTATTACAACTTTGTATATCACTTTTTTTTCTTAAATATAAGCACCATACTGTTGTTTCTCCAATCATCAAGTATCTTCTTTTCCTTCACTATCTTATTAAATAGCTTGGTTAACTATAACAAATCTACCTCTCCCATAGCTTTCCATACTTCTATTGAAATCCCATCAAGTCCTAATGCCTTTCCCTTCTTCATCTTATTGAGTGCCTTTTTTATTTCAACAAGTCTAACTCTACAAGGTATGTATTATTTTTAACACTACTAGTATTGCTAAACTCTCCTATATTAGCGCCCTCTCCTTGTTCATTTAATAATTTTTCAAAACTGTTTTCTATCTTTATTTGATTTCCTCATCTTTTACCAAGACTCCTTGTATCTTCATCTCTAATGCACCTAACATAGTTTAAATCTGTCTTTCCTTCTCTTAGTTTTGTTAATTTATGCATTGCTTTTCCTCCCTCTTTAGTGCCTAATTTATGGTAAAAGCTCAGCATAATCCTTACATTTAACATCATTCACCTTCTTTTAACTCCTTTTCTTATGGTTTTATATTTTTTCCAGTTTTCTTCATTCCACCACCAAGTTTTTTTAGTACTTTGCCACTATTCTCCCAAGACATCCTTTTTTTGTTAAAATAGCTGCTTTCAAGCCTTTTCTTTCTCCAAGGGACCACAGAACGGAGGATAACCCATAAAGCCCCCAACCCAAGTGTAGGTGGGATTTGATCCCAAGTCTCCACTACAAGTCTACAACCAATAGGAGACCTTATTAACAAGCCAATTGGCACAGTTGGCACTTGGCACCTTGCTCTCCTAAGACATCCTTTGCTACTTTCTTTATATTGTTTGCCATCAAGCCAAATATCATTAATATTTCTATCTAAATTCCAATTCCCTTATATTATCAATTTGTTTCTCAATTGAGCTAGCTTTTCTCCTTTCAGGATTTCCCACCTAGTTCTTGGACACCTACTTTCTTTAATATTTCTCTACCATTTCCTAATGCAAATATCTACCACCACTAGTCTATGCTAAGCTTTAAGTGTTCATCACTCTTTTGGCAAAAGGTGTTTACAATTGTCATATCATAAGCTACTGCAAAATCTAATATTGTACCTCCTGAATTATTCTTCTCCCCAAACCCAAATCCTCCATGCACCATATGATATCCTACACTTTGTCTCCTTACATGCCCATTTAAGTTTCCTCCTAATAAAAATCTTCTTTTCATTTGAAATTTCTTGGATCAAACCTTCTAAGTTTTCTCAAAAGTGTCTTTTAATGTTTTCTTCTAGACCCACTTGAAGTGCATAAGCACTAATTATGTTAACGATTCCTCACCTAAAACAAGTTTAATATTAGGGATTATAGTTGATAAGGGCAACTTTTGGGCTGACCCTGTTAGAGGAGAATTTCAGACCTCAGTTGTGGAGGTTTTTGGTGAGGGGGATCAGGTTGTTGCAAGGGCTGATAGGAGTGAACAGGTGAAAATATATAATAAAAAGAGGGAGGCAAAAAAGAATAAAGAAAGAAAAAAAGGTCAGAGGTGGAAAGATTAATTTGTAACATAGAAGGGAATTTAGAGTTTAGTGATAGAGGAGACAGGAGAAAAGGCATGAAGTAAGGAGTTGTGGTTTATTGCTAAGGGTTCTCTATTGATTTGTGCCTATGAGGATAGTTAGCTGGAATGTTAGGGGTCTAGGGAGTGCAAGAAAAAGGAGGGTGATTAAGGATTTACTTAGAAGGGAAAGAGCTGACATTGTTATGTTGCAAGAAACAAAGTTGTCAGATCTGGACAGAATATGGGTGAGGAGTGTGTAGAGGTCTAGACGTGTAGGATGGACTTCAGCCCCATCTTGGGGAGCCTCAGGGGGGATTGTCACTCTCTGGAAAGATGATGTAGTAGAGGTAGTGGAGGAATTAATAGGGAGGTTCTCAATTTCCATCAAATTTAAGAATGTAGAGGATGACTTCACTTGAGTATTAACTAATGTCTATGGTCCTAGTAATTATAGAGAAAGGAATGACATGTGGGTGGAATTGTATGCAACTCAGGGTTTGTGGGAAGATCTATGGTGCTTGGGAGGGGATTTCAATGTGATAAGATTTTCTGAAGAAACTAATAATTCCCAATAAACCATCACAACTAGCATGAGAAAGTTTAATAGCTTTATTGCTGATTGTGAGTTAAAGGAGATCCCGTTACTGCAA